ATTTTAGCACTCCTTGTCTTTGTTGTCAAACATTTCACAGAAAAGACAATCTTTGACGATTAGCTGGTACGGGCTACCAGATAAATACAAGCAAAACTGAATTTCAATCATGCCTGTAAATTTGTCTGTTTATAAGGCAAACATACAATTCTGCAGTTGAAATATTCGGTCTTCATGTTGGTAGCTAAGTTTAAGTCAGAGGCCATCTTACCTCTAGAAAAACACCACTGTACGCTTGTGAGAGAATGAAAATGAAAAAGGCAATAAGTACTTAGTATTATTATATAAATGCTGTGGTTTCAGCCTTGTGGACCACATGAAAGGTTATCAAGAACCTCCAGGGGTCTACAGACCACACTTTGAGAACCACTGATGTAGAAGGTAGCATTTGAGGTTAGCCTTAAAGAAAGCCAGAGTCTGAGAACAAGAGTCCGTTCTAGGTGTGAAGAGCAAAGGTAAGGAAGTAGAGTGATAGAGTTTCATGTATGTTGAGTTTTAGATGTTTCCAGGATGTCCAGTTTCAAATGGTCATTACTCTGTTGCTGATACGGGACAGGAGCTAAGGGTAGAGACTCAGACTACATATGTAGATCTGGGAGCTATTTGCAAAGAAATGATCATTGATTCCAGGTGAGCTGATTAAATGTAATGGTGAAAGAGAAGAAGAGAGTCTAGGACACATCTTCAAGGTATTCCTGTTTTAGGGACCATGGTGGATGATTTTTGAGTAAAAGAGTTTGAAAAACAGCAATCCTACAGGAAAGAGGAGAACCAAAAAAAGAATAATGTCACATAAATACAGAGAAGAGGAAGTATCCAGGAGAGAGCTGTTAAGCGTCAAAGACTGCAGTGAGATGAAAAATGATGAGTACTGGGGCCATTGGATTTGGCAGTAAGAGAACACATGACTTCGGGGAGACCAGTTCATCATCATAGGCTGACATGTTTAGAGCACTCATGTCGCATATAAAATGAGGATGATACCTGCATTACCTTCATCATAAGGTTATTATGAAGAAAAATATTTTGTAAACTTAGAAAATAATTCATTAATGCAAATTATTATTATGTAATGCTACCTTGCACTGTTCATTAAGCTGAATGGAGCTTCCTAAAAGTTTGGGCTGACATTTTTTGAGAGGTATAGATCTACCTGCTTGAGAGGGTTGAGGCTATAACCCATTAAGAATGAAAGATTAAGTTTTCATTATAGGACATGGCCTCAGGGTCTTTTTTTTTTTTTTTTTTTGCTGAACTATTAAAGGAAGCCATGCTGGGAGATTCAGGAGGAAGTGATTTGATCCCATCTCCTTCTGTCTTCTCCAGCAGATTGCCCCCACCTTTATCCCCACTCTCTCTTTCTCTTCAATATTTACCAATTGGCTCCTTCTCAACTAGCAATAAACACACCCATCTTTCCCTCATCCATAAAAACCCTGACTAGATCCTAATTCTTCTGCTAATTACCACCTCCTTTGTGGCTAAACTCCTTGAGAAAGCCACTTGCTGATCAACTGTGAAATTCGGCTTAGCTATTCTCAGCAATACGGTGATCCAAGACGATTCCAAAATACTCAAGAAAAATGCTATTCACCTCCAGAGAAAGAACTTTCTCCCTCCCAGAGAACCATCTCATGTAACAAAGATTTTAAAGATGAGAGAAAAAAGAATTAGCAAACCAATCCATATGTTGAAAAAAAGGCCAAAAGCACATGCAAGATTCCATATCCATGGAATTCTGACCTTTGCAAAAGAGTTGGGGCAGGGGTGGGGAGGAGGGTGTGGAGGCTTCTCATTTTTGTTCTTTGGAGCTATGCTTATTCTTTGTAATTTGGCAACATTCACTTAAAATTTTTTTTTATTTATTTCAATCAGCAAAAATCTGTTCTCTCTCCCACCCACACACCCCCAATTGAGAATGAAAGACTATAAAACTAACTGCTAATACAAATATTCATAACCAAGCAAAACAATCTTCATATTAGCCATGTCTTAAAAAATTACACGTATGTTTCATTCATTCTTCATGCCTTGAGTCTTTTCCCTTTCTATGAAGAGGGAGGTAACTTGAGGCATCCTTAATCCTCTGCAATTATGGTTGGTCAGTTATTAAGCCTTTCAAAGCTTTTTGTCTTTACCATGTTATTGTCAATGAATAAATTATTCTCCTAGGTCTGCTTACTTTACTTTGCCTTAGTTCATACAACTGTCCTCAGGGTTCTCAGATATTATCCCCTTTATCATTTTTACAGGACAATATATAACATCACAATTGTATACCATAACTTGTTCAGCTATTCCTTAAATGATGGACGCCCCCCCTCAAATTCCAGTTCTGTGCTGCTTCAAAAAATATATACATATACATACATACATATATATATATATATATATTTTTTTTTTTTTAACATCCTTATTATAGGACACAAAAAAGGCTAAGAAGCCCTCCGCTAATGAGACTTCTCTGAAGGCCTGTACTTTGAAATTATGCTCTTGCCCTATGCAAATCTCTTCTACTTGGACTGCTGTGTTGGACAGATATACATGTAAGCCTCCTTACCGGCCAGAGTTTCATCTTTCATGGCTACAAATAAACAGACAGTTAATAGAGAAGTACATCGAGTTCCATTTGAGTTCATGTTTGACCATATCTCATGTTCTGCTGTGGTTTGGGAGAGGGTGTAGCTTTCCTTTTGGAGAAGTGCTCTGGATTGTTTCTCTTCCATCCCTGATCCCAGCTAATGCTTTTCTCCTTTTCCTCAGGTTATTTTTCCCCACTTGCAATGCTTTCCATACAAATCCATCTAATTGAACTCAATTTGATGACCATTTATTTGGTGCCTGCTACAGGCCAGGTGGCACAAGAGGCATGCTGTAGCAGAAAGAGAGCCAGGAATAACAAGCAGCAGTTATACGTAGCGTTTTAGGTTTGCAAAGTGCTTTACAGATTTTATACCATTTGTTATTTATATCAACCCTGGGACTTGGGTGCTGTTATTATATCCCCATTTTACAGATGAGGAAACTGAGGCCACATTTGTGCTGAGGTCTTCCTGACCCCAGGCCTACCAATCTATCTGCTGCTTGCCCAGGAAGACCTAGGTTCAATTGTCACCTCTGTCACATACTGGCTATGCAATTCTGAGTTAAGATACTTAATCTCACAGTTCTGAAAGCAATTTTCTTAACTGCAGAATAGTTACCTTTTAAAACCGATAACATTTTCACTATGAGTTCTCCTATATCAATGAAATCTCAGCTCTAGCTCACTCCTGCCAAAAAAGAAATTTCCTCAAAACAAAAGAAAATACAATTTTCAGGAACCAGGTGCTATGGATTTGTGGTTGTTGTTCAGTTGTTTCAGTCCTGTCCGGCTCTCCACGGCTCATTTGTGGTTTTCTTGACAAAGATGCCAGAGGGTTTTGCCAGTTCCTTCTCCAGATCACTTTACAGGTGAGGAAGACTGAGGCAAACAGGGTTAAGCAACTTGCTCAGAGTCACAGAGCTAGTAAGTACCTGAGGCTGGATTTGAACTCAGATCTTCCTGACTCCAGGCCCAGCTCTCTATCTACTGTACCAGCTAGCCGGCCTGTGCTATGGATGCAAAGATTAAAAACTGACAAGAAGTAGTTTTTGAACTTATGTTCTACTGGGGAAGTACAGATAAATCAATATAAAGTCATTCCAGGAAAGAGAAATCACTAGTCCCTAGAAGTCACTAGAAAGGCCTCCTCTTACCAGGGCCATGAGAGCTCTGCCACATTGTCTTGGTTCAGCCTTCTTTCAAGACTTCATTCAAAGTTTGCCTCCTTGAAAAACTTTGACTCTGCTAGTTCCTATTTTTGGCTATAGTTGCCACAGCTTTATGAATCATTTTTGTTTTGTTCTTGAGTTATCTGATTTGTGTAGATTGTGTTGTATCCAAGCTGTAAATTCCTTGGAGGTTTGAACTTAGTCTTAGACATCTCTGGTCTCCTTCGAAGCACTTGGTACAGTAGGCTTTTAATAAATGTTTTGGAAGGAGTGAATGAATCTGGAGAACTGATGAAGTCAACATCCTTTCCTTTGAACCAGAGGCACTCTTAAAAAAAAAAACCTAATACAAATGTCCTTAAATATTAATGTTAAATACATAACTAAAGAGGACTCTAATTTGTGAGTCTGAAAATGCTATTTATGAAATATATTTTGTAAATGTATGAAGAGAATGAGGAGTGTTAACTTAAAACTGTAGAATAATCTAAACAGCCACCCTAAAAAATTCCCACTGGTGTTCTAATGAATGTTATTTTACAACTTCAAAGCTCATAGCAATATAATTAGTAATATGTATAATCTTTATTACCAATCTCAATCTTTTTTATATGACTGAAAAATTATTTTATGGTCACACAATTAAAATAATGCTAAAAATGTCAGCATAACAGAATTAAACTAAAGTAAGTACTACAATATTGTACCCCAAACTAGCTCATTTAAATGCAAAATACTTTGTATGGGCTATTTGTCTGGGCTAATGTATGTTAAGGGAATTAAACAGTAGTTTGTGTAGCTGGAATAAAAAAGAAAAAAATAAGCACTGTACTGCAGCCTTTGCTATTGTTTAACATGCCGGGCATATTAAACACACATATGGGCCACTTGAGGAAAATTTATTACTAGAAATTGGTGACTAGTCACATCACAAGGTAGTGGAAGGAAAAGTCAGAGGGCCAAGTTATCAGTAGCACTTTGTGTGTGTGCATGTGCATGGATGTGTGTGCACGTGCAAGCACACAAGCTTGAATGCGGTACTAGTGAAAATGAGTCTGAAATGTGGAAAGATTTCCTTCAGTTTTCAAACAGGTGGCAAGCTTTTTACTACTATGGGGTATAAGCAAGATCACTGAAAAGTTTCACTTTTGACTTGTAGGTTCCAAAAGCCCAAATGCTGGATGTTTAATTGGCATTTGGTACGTGGGTAGGCTTTCCTTAGGACTGAAAGTTTTTCTTTCTTGCAGAACTCAGCAATGCCTCATTTAACTGATCGACCTTATTACAAGGTGAGTAAAGAACTCACAGCAGCAAGATCTTGAGCATTTTCTTTATCACTGTCACTGCATTATGACAATCACTTTTACAATTAATTTTGTGTCATTTGCATGCCATTTTCTTTTGCACAATATTTTGAGAGAAATAAAATTTTTACCAATGCTTTTGGCATCAAATGATGTGTTTTGAAGGTTAAGCAATCCAGTAGTCTCTCACTGACACATATTGATTTTTCTAAATAGTAAAGTCATTATAGCCTTAGGTAACTTATGACAACTACAAAAATCTACAAAAGGCTTGGGGTGTTGTAGAATGTTATGTGTTTAATGCCACGATTTGGATGTTAAAAATAGACTGTGTTAGCCATTAGGATTCAACAAACGATGTGACCTATTAACATTTATCTTTTTGATTTCTAGGTCCAAACACAAGTGGAAAACCCAACTAGGTACCATATACAGCAAGCACAGAGACACCAAGTTAAGCAGTATCTGCCTCTAGACACCAAGTTGCCCAATCAGACCCTAACACTGACTCCTCCACAAGCCACAGGTGCCACACATTTGGTACAGAATGGACACGCACCTCCTGACAGCAAGATTGGGATCACAGAAAATCCAATCACCAAGTTGTTAGCTCTTGGGAAGGACCACGAAAATGTGGTATGGAATATATGACTAATGGCTTTGAAAACTGAGATTGGTTGCTTAAGAACAGGACAAAAGGATGAAGAGGCATTAGAGGCAGAACAATGGAAAAGATGGGTGGATTCAAATCCCATTTTCAACCTTTGTGACTTTTAGTAAGTCACTTGACCTCTCTAGGTCTCAGTTTTCTCAAGTGTAAAACATAGGAGGTGAACCAGAAAGTTTCTAACATCCCTTCCATTCTAAATCCACGATCATAATTCATTTGGAGAAAATATCCAAAATGTTTTATTTTTCAAAAATTATATATATGTGTGTGTATATACATTTATATACACACACATACATATATACACACACATACATATATGTATGTGTATATATATATATACACACATACATACATACACACACACCTATATCTCACAAGAAGTTTTAAATGAGCACAGTTCAAGAACTATCCAGCAAGTTAAGCCCAACTCTGGAAGTCATTTGGCTAGTGTATTCTTTCTTTTATTTAAAAAAAAATACATACTGACATACTAATTGGTTGTCATTTTTTAAAAAGTGAATTTGGACTCAGAATTTCCACGTAATTCCATTAAGACTACACAAACATGAGAGGAGAATAAGTTTTACACATGAAGGACAAGAAGATCTTACAGATATCCATTTTCCTTTTTTCTTGATGTTTACTTAATACTTTCTCCTCAATGACATGTAAAAACCATTTTTAACATTGATTTTTTAAATTTTTGAATTCCACATTCTCTCCCTCTCTTTTTTCCCCCCTCATTGAGAAGGCAAGCAATTGGATTTAGGTTATACATATGCATTCATGCAAAACATATTTCCAATAGATATCTATTTTCAGGATGCATTTTGATATAGGAGATGACTCTGGTGGGGAAGGACAGAAAGTGAGAATATGAACTTTTTGATTTCTCTTAAGCAAAATATGAGTCAGCATGGTACAGTGATAACTTTAGAGCCTGGAAGACTTGGATTCAAGTTCACATTCTGAAACATACCATCTGTGTGACTATAGACCAGTCACTTAACTTCTCAGTACCATAGACAAATCTCTGATAGAATAAAGTATTAGATAACTTAATGACTGGCATTGACAGAAGAAGTTTCCATACACAGATGAAAACACAGTACAGATCAGAAAGATGAAACAAAATGTGAAATATGTCCCTTTTTTTTTTAAACCAGAAGTCAAATCACAAATATCAGTCTTCTGGCTTTTCACAGTGAGCAGGACATAGTACAACTCAGCCCCTCCAGAGGAAACCCTGGGGCCAACAACTATTCAAAGACACTCCTTAAACTCCTACCTGCAGAGGATTGGGCCAGAGGGAATTATCTGAAATTCAGGATTTTAAGTTGGGTTAGAAGTTGCTGGCTATGAAACAGGGAAATGTATTATCCAACAGTGTTGCAGATGTTTTTCCCCTGGCTATCATTCAGTCATGCATTAGTTAATTCAATTAAATACTTGTTAAACATCTATTATGTATATGACGCTATGTTGATACTGAGATTTCAAAGGCAAAAACGAAATAGTCCTTGGTCTTCAGGAGCTTGCGTTATTATGCTGGAAAGATACATGTACACAGATAAGTAAATATGAAGCCATTTGAGGAGAGGGATGGGAAGAATCAGAGGAGGCTTCTCAAAATATTCAACATATTTATTAAGTACTCACTTCAGGTCAGCTGGGAACTACAGGGGGATATGATGATTAAATAAGACCTTCCAATTATTGACAGTTGGGGGTATAGGAATAGGAGAAGGCAGTAAATAACTATGAGAAAGAATGTGGTAAGAGATGGAAGGGAAGCTATTATTAAAGTTCATTAGGAAATCAGAAGGAAGGATGACTTTGGCTAGGAGTTCAAGAGGAATTATCAATGAGATCATATTTAAACTCGGCTTTGAAAAAAAAAATGGGTAGAATTAACAACAGAAATTTGGGGAGAGAATATTCCAGACAAAAGGGCCAGCTCGAGAGAAAGAGCAGATGACAAAGGTATGCTTAATGATAGCTAGGCTATAGGCTGCACATAAGGGAGGAATAGATTGTGAGGCTAGAAAGACTTATTGGTGTCAGATTATGAAGGACATTAGATACCAGACAGAGAAGTAAGGCTTTTATTCAATGAGGTACAAGGAGCTACGTAATGTTTTTGAGCACGAGAAAGACTTAAGACTCTTAAAATCTTATAAGTCATCCATATTGGCCATCCAATCCTACCTTCCACTAATACAGGAAGCATCTCTGCACCATCCCTTTGACAGGTGGTCCTTCAGTTTCTGTATAAAGAATATGAGTCACAGGAAACTCACTACTTTATAAGGTAGCCCATTTCATTTTCAAACACCTCAAAACTTACTCTAAAGGCTGTTGAGGACCACTGAAGCTTTTTGAGCAATTTAGTCAATATGGTAGGAAGATCTTCGCTCAGTTTATACTGGAGGAGAGGCTGCAGGCAAATAAGCTGGTTATCAGGTTGTGGCAATAATATAAGTGTGAAGTGATAAGGGACCTGAGAAATGGGTGGTGGTGGCAATAGAAATGAGGGAACAGAAGCAACAGATTTCAGAGGGAGAACTGACAGGCTTTGATTTAGAGCATAAAATAAGGATTACATGTTAACATTGAATTTGGAAGATGATGGGGCGATTAATGACAATAGGAAAAGCCAGCAAGAGAAGCAGGTCTGGGGAAAGAAGAATTCATTTCATGACATTAAGTTTGACATGTTGATGGAATATATGGAGGGGGAGATGGCCAGTGGGCAGCTGGAAATATAGGACTGTATCCAGAAAGAGAGGTATGGACTGAAGATAGAGACTTAGGTGGTGATAAATGAACCTGGATGAGCTAATGATAGGAGATTACCTGGGCGGGGGCAGCAGGAAGAAAAGAAGTCAGTGAAAAGAGCAGAGGAGGGGCCAGAGATCAGAGGAGAGATAAGAGACAATGTCATTGTCACTGGAGCCAAAGGGGGAGCAAATTTTAATGAGAGGATGAGTGACAGTGTCAATATTATTGAGAGGTCAAGGAGAATGAGGCCTGAAAAACAATGGCATCTGGGGGTCAGGTCTAAAACAGCACTTTTAATATCAATTTGCTTTCCACATAACTGGTATTCCTTTACATAATGAATAAATGAATGGATGAATGAAGAATGAAGTTTGAGGAATTAGGGTCAAGGACAATTTCTATTTATTTGTTTAGCATAAGGGAGATCTGAGTTTATTTGTAGATGAAGGGGAAGAACTCAGTGAAGAGGGAAAGACTGAAGATATAAGAGAGAAGATAACTGACGGAGGTCCCAGAGGAGGCAGGAAAGTATGGGGAAAATAGAGAACATTTATCTGTAGTGGCTTCACTATCATTTGTTTTCTTCTGGAGGACTGACAAGAAGAAAACAATCTTTTGCTCACTGTGACTTTTGCCATTCCTCACCATTTTAAAAAAAATGCATTTTTCTTTGTCTGATACCATTTGGATATAGAATTAATTTTATTATGTAGGTGAAAGGAAAAACGGGAAAATGAAAGCCTGCTGACAATAATAATAAAAAATGTTATACCTCAACATTTTCAGAGATTAGATTACATGATAATCATAAGTAAACCATATATAATTATTTTAATTTTAGGTGGTAGTCTTAATTACTTTTATGTGATTCTTAAGAAAATCCTAGTGAAGATAACTAGATAAGGCTAGACTCCACATCATTTTCAGCCACATTATTCTTGATTCTTTGAAATCCATGAACATCTCATTTAAGATTTAAAATTAATGAAAAAATGAAATGTTTTGACCCACTTACAGGAGTGTCAATATCCTTACACTATTTGTACTCACTGTCTTTTATTGGTTTTCACATCCTGAGGTAAGAGAACATGGCACACACTCTACCCCTATGTACAGAGACTGGCCTTCAGAAATATCCCTTCTGCCCATGTACAAGTAAAAATTGTAGGAGGCAGTGGAAAGGGGATGATAACGAAAAGAAAGGATTAAGGAAATAGATTGAGAGAGGAGGTAAGTTGTATTAGATTTTTAGATCTTCTGACTGGGTATATAGGCATCTATTTATTTGTATGAGTGGTTTACTGGAATTGTAATTTAGGCCAAATCATACAAAAGCTTTGTTCAAAAGTTGTTTCAAGGACAAAAAAAAAGGGTTTTGTGGGCAAATGGACAAGTTTATCAATCAGGGGTCCTATTAGCCTGGACTCTGAATCTGGAAGAATAGCCAAAGCACTTTAGAGTAATAGCCATCAGTTCTCCTATATAAGGGCTGCCTTGCTCTAATGCAGAGGTTCCTAAATTTATTTGGCCTACTGCCCCCTTTTCAAAAAATATAAAAATTACTCTGGGTGCTTCTGGAAATCTACTTTCTTTAACCCTTTAACTATTTCTTTTTAAATTTGCGTCATTTCAAAAAAAATTTCTTTAAAAAATGACACATTTTAGATTTAATAATTTATTGTAAACTTGTTTTTTTCCTGCATTGAGATTTGATGACACAACATTGTGTCATATAACCATACAGTATCATATTGTAAACAAGTCATCACAAGCACACATGTTCCTGCCAATGTATGCTGGACTTCCTGACAATGAGAAACACGTTTGCCCGCCAACATTTGCTTGTAAAGACCTGTTGGCAGACTTGACCAACTGATCAGTTATAACTTCCATTTTGTGTGTTTATTTGGAAAATAATGTAATCACTATAACTTTAACTTTGTTACACCACAGATGAAACATGTATGAATGGTTTTTCAAAATTTTCTTCTCTTTCCTCATGTTTCCACCACCCCATAATTTTTATTCAATTCTCCCCCGACAGCACCTGAGGCTACTACCATTCCTCCCTGCCCACCCCCACCCCCCATCATTCCAGGGGGTGCTTTGAGAACTTCTGCTAGCTGATCATGGAGCAAGTATGGAGAAAATCCACTTAGACAAAGGAGGGAAAGTTGACTTATAGAATTTTGGATCTAGAAGCATCCTAGTGATTACTTATTCCAATCTATTTTAATATACTAGAGATTGTTAAGGGGAGCTAGATGGTGCAGTAGATAGAGTGCTGGGCCTGGAATCTAGAAAGCTCATGCTCATGAGTTCAAATTGGCCTCAGACCTAGCTGTGTGACCCTGGGCAAGTCACTTAACCCTGTTTACTTAAGTTTCCTTATCTGTAAAATGAGCTGGAGAAGGAAATAGCAAACCACTTCAGTATCTTTGCCACAATAACTCCAAATGGGGTCACAAAGAGTCAAACACAACTAAAATAACTGAACAACACAGATTTTCAGTTAGCCAGTCATAAGATAAAATGATGGCAGGGACAGGTCTCCTGGTTCCTGGGTTGGTGCTTTTTACATTCTATCTGGTTGCCTCTGGTTTACTTGTTGCCTCCTATTCATCTTCATTTTCAGTGAGAATATTTTGGCCACATAAGCGTGTGGGCTGACCATTATTGTCACACATAAAGATGTGGGGGCTATTATGTAGATGCCACCATAATTTTATTTTTCAAATGAAATCATTCAGCAAGTTTCTGGCCCATGGTGAAAGCCTAAAAATGCTTGTCAATTGAGTGATTGTAGGGATGGGGTGGTCTTTTTGATGTTGTATATTTATTTTAAATATATTATATTTTGCTAGATGGATGATGTTTTTGAGAACATAATCAGCATGGAATCAAGTTTTAATGATAAAGGAACAAGTTGTCCAGAAGATCCACTCCTAATGCAAAGGACGGTGAGTGTTTTTAAATTTTAATTGATCTGTGTATCATAAAATGAAATAGGATATAAATAAATAAAACTTACAACTTTTAATAACTACATCTTTATTAATAAAGATACTAACTTCAATGACATTTTTTTCCTCCTCTTAAGTGACTGATAAAATGTATCTTCTGTTCAAAAAAATTTTTTTTCTCAATATAGTATGATATAGTGGAAAAAGAACTCAGCAAGAAACTTAGGTTTGAATCCTAGTTCTGACACATTTATCTGTGCGTCCTTGGCCAAGTCATTGTCCCCCTCTAATTCAATCTAATTCAACAAGCGTTTATTAAGTGCCTACCATGAGTAAGTCACTGTTGTAAGTGCTGGAAATAAGAAAACAAAAACCAAACTGTCCTTGCCCTCAAAAAGCTTACATTCTACTGGAGGGATACAACTTATAGACACATATAATACAATGTAATTTGGATACAAAAAGAACACTGACAACTGGGATAATCAAGGAAGGCCTCACCTGACCTTAGCCTTGAAAGAACAAGAATATTTTGAAAGATTGCAATGAGGAGGTCATGCATTCTAGCCATGGGAGAGGGCCCTGAACAAAAGAAAATTAAAAAACAACCCCCCCCAAAAAAAAAAACAATATGGAGGCAGAAAATGGAATGCCAACTTTGGGGAAAAGCTCAATAGTACAGGTTGGCTGGAATGCAGATTATTTGAAGCAGAAGAGTGTGAAATAAGGCTGAAAAGATATGTTGGAGGCCTTCAAATGGTGACCTGAGGAGTCCGTATTTTATCTTGGAAGCATCGGGAATTGGGTTTTGAGCAAGGGAATGGCATGGTCAGGTCTGTGTCTTAGGAAGATTTCTTTTGTAGCCATGTAGAGGATGATCTTGTTTAGTTATTTTGTGTGACTCTTCGTGATCCTATTTTGAGTTTTCTTGCAAAGATACTCAGTGGTTTGCCATTTCCTTCTCCAAACAGGGTAAATGGCAGTTAACAAGACAGTACCGGAGTTGGCCAGACAGCCTAGGGTTACCTGCAGATTTGGAGGTCATCTGCATAAATGTGATCATCTAACACATGGGAGTTGAGGAGATCACCAAAGGAAAAAGTTTGGAGAGAAATTATATAGATAGATATTTCCATTACATACGAGCGTGTATATGTATTCACATACTGTGTATACATGTATAGTTGTCACAGATTTTGTATTTGTGAAATCATTACTCAAAGGTGCTTTTGCAATCATTCACAAACATGCTGAGTCACTCAATGCAAAAATCTCAGCCGAAGTTGGAACAAGGCAACACCCTGCCTTCTCGTCTCAGCTTTCATACTATAAACAAATATTCTTTCCCTAGTCTATTTGCTGTCGTTCAGTCATTTCAGTTGTGTCTGTGACACAAATGACCCCATTTTGGTTTTTTTTGGCAATGATACTAGCTAGAGTAGTTTGCCATTTCCTTCTCCAGCTCATTTTATAGATGAGGAACTGAGGCAAACAGGGTTAAGTGACTTGCCCAGGATCATATAGCTAGTGAGTGTCCGAGGCTGGATTTGAACTCATGAAGCTTTCCTGATTCCAAGCCCAGTGCAGTGCTCTGTCCAGGGCCACTTAGCTGCCCTTGGTCTATCTTGTTGTTGTTGTTGCATTTTTGAGCTATTTGTTAGGTGATTTTGCTGTTTAAAATGGCCCCCAAGCATAGTGTTGAAGTGTTGTCTAGTGTTCCTAAGCTCGGTAATCTTAGTTTAGGTATGAGACAGTGCTGCTAGCCATGAGCTCAGTGTTCAAGAAAAAAAGGAAGAGGAAATTCACTAATCTGTATAGGAGGCAGCTCCAGAAAGGGCAAACGTTTCCATTGTGACCAGAGGTTCGCAGGAATCTAACTCTGTATGTTCCCTAAGAGCACTGGGTCAGTATTGGCTATTTCAGAGTTCATAGTATCTTTATAGAACCTATCTAATGTGAATGATGAGAGTTGAATGTATACATGTATATCCATACACACATATATGTACATATATACTACAATTTAGTTTGGGGAGATTGGGAAGGATTTCTTATAAAAGACAGTGCTTGAGCTGACTCTTGAAAGAAGTAAGCAGGGAATTCTGAAAGGTGGAGTTGAGGAGGGAGAGTATAGGGGACCCCTCATGTTAAAGCACAGAAATAGGAATAATACAAAATAAAACCAAAAAAAAAGGTATTGTGGAACCAGGTTATGAATGGCCTCAAATAAAAAATGGAGCAGTTTATATTTTATATCAGAGGCAAAAGGAAACTACTGGATTTTATGTGAGGAGTGATATGATCAAAACTGCACTTAGGAAAATCACTTTAGCTTTTGGGTGGAAGATTGGGTTGAAGTAGGGGGAGACTTGAGACAGGGAGGCCAGTTAGGAGCCTAGTGTAATAATCTAGGTGAGGCATGGACTTATATCCTACTCTGGAGAAGACTTGTATACAGATCGTGGACAAATCACTTAATCTCTGCTTGTCTCAGTTCCCTGTCCTGGAAAATGAGGATAATAGTAATAGCACCACCTCTCTGGGTTGTCTTGAAGATAAAATGCAGTATTTTGTAAAGCACTTTGCTAACCTCAAAGCACTATATAAATGCTAGCAATTATCACTATTATTATTTTGGCAGGGTGAGGGCGAACTGTATGTATGTGTGTGTGTGTATATGTCTACACATATATGAATATAATATGTAAAAATATGTAAAACTGACCAAGTCAGTAAAGGACCCTTTTAGGAGGTGGCCTTTGAGCTGAGCCTTGAAGGGAGGGAGGGATTCCAAGTCACAGAGATTTAGAAGAGTAAGCACAAAGAAAAAAGAAACTTCTTGTAAGGCCCATAAATGGTGTTTACGGCTAGTACAAGTTCATGTAAAACATTCTGTACCCTGTACGGAAGCACAGAGGGTATAACTGATGTTGAAATCAGGACAAATTCCTTCTAGATTGGTTGATTCCCTTCTCTCAGTTGTAGCAATATGCCGTGCAATCCAAGGACTGCATCTCATCAGCAATTGCTCACTTAACCTTCTCATTACTAATTAAAAAATTAGCAAAGATGCAAGCTGTAGTGTGTATAGATCCTCCTTCAGGACTCCTTTGGGGACTTCCAGAAATTTATATCTTTCCAGAAAGTAAGAGGAAAAAAAGGGTAAGCACTTCAAATTCTGACTTTATTTATTCTTTTTTTTTAAACAACTTAAATTAATAATGTGAATTCTGAGCTCTTTGGCACTCAGTATGGTGCAAGAGAAGAAGCACCAGATTTGCAGTCAAAGAACCTATTTTTGAATCCCAACTATGTCACATACTATCTGTGTAACTGTGAATAAATTACTTCAGCCCCAGAGCCTCAGGTTTCTGGTGTTGGGGTGGGGAGGGGTGGTTGGACCAGATCCGTTCTAGATCTAAATCCATGCAATTGTGCAAAACATGGGGCTTGTTCCTTGAGTACAAAGGATGTTGGCTTACTTTTAAGGGGTGTGAGTTCTTATTTTGAATTCTCAAAGAGTTTCATAAAGAGTCCCTTTAATCCTTTCGTTTTCTACCAACACTTCTCTACCCCTACTCTCAATCTGGCAATTTAACGATTGCAGAAGCACTTAATTACCATTGATGAGGTTTATAAATTGTTGTTGTTGGGGGTTTTTTTGTAAGTTTTATGCCCAAACTTTGTTCTTTTGGAATAGTATTCCATGGCCAACTTTACTGAGGATTGCTATTTCAAAAGATTCTACCTCTTGAGTCTCACCTTATGCTTAAAGTAGAATAGTTATCTTGTCATGGTAAATTCTGCATATTCCTTCCTGGAATAGAAATATTATTTTCTTATTCTTTCTTCACCTCCTAGATTAAGGAAAATGTGGCTGAATTTCCTACAAACTTCTTTCTCCTATGTATGAATTCTATTATTTGAAACATCTTGTTCCTCAATATATGTATGTGTGTGTGTGTGCACGCACGCTCGTGCATATATATATATATATATATATATATATATATATATATAATGAAGAAAGAATATATATACATATATATATTCTTTCTTCATGATTTTCTCTTTCTTTGGAACTGATTTGATTACAACATACCCATTTCTTGCATTTGTTATACAGAACGCAATACTGAAATGATGTTAAATGTATGACACCCATCTCAGAGAATATGAACAATTTTTCTCAGTTGAGATTATTAACCATTGTAAATGCATATACACGTTCACCTAGATATCTTTGATTGTAACTTTAAATTATTTTTTAAAGATCATAACTTTAACTAGTATTTTTTGGAATATAGGAACATATTTCATTTTTTGGGGGGAAAAACAAATTTGGATGAAATAGGCAATTATTACCATCCCAAAATGTCAAGCTCTAGCCTCTAACTAACCTCAAAGCTAGAACCTAGGATAGCGGGAACTGGGATAGAATGTGAGAATTCATCCAGAGGGCAGGGACTCTACCTGGCACTTAGCAAATACCTAATATACTGGTTGAATCACTCATTTGGCCAATATAATCAGTTAAGTATTTGTTTGTGTTACTTTTAACTTGAATGCAGAAATTATCACATTCCCTTCCATATTATTTAAAAAAGTTTCTCATTCCTTACTAACCTAATGGAGATGGAATTGGACTGTTGAATTGTATAGGATCATAAATATTAGACTCAGTCGGTTTTTTGAAACCAGTCAGCTTTTTCTTGCTTTAATATTTTTACTGACCAGTGACCTCACCAATGTGTCTAGTCCTAAACAACTTGCCCATGTCTTCTCATCCTTTCTGACTTTAATAAATCCACCATATAGATTCATCCATGTGTGGTGGGGCCAAGTTGAAAGAGCTTTCAATGGCAGATAAAGAATTTTATAGTTGATCATATTCAGGACTGGAGTTTGAGTATGGAAATGATGTGGAGACACCTGAGCTTAAAGAGACTCACTTTGGTGCTTGTCTGGAGGACGAACTGAAGTGAAAGAGAATTGAA